GGTTCTAGATTTCAAAATTTCCCGGGGGAGGATACCCCCGGACCCCCCGACAAATGCGAGTTCTTATGTATGCATCAGTCAGTTCAGGAGCTGGATCCGCCCCTGGCTGAAACTAGTGATTTATGTGCATGTATTCTGGCTCATATTTGTTTACTTCACCTCATGCTGTGTGTCTTGAGTTAGCTGGCTTCAGTAAAAGCTTATTGTGTCCTTACACAAGTTTTATTTACATTAATATAACTACAGAAGACTGAGTTATAGTTTACAAAAGAAATAAGTTGCACATGCCTTTATTCAAGCTATGATAGGGGAGCCGTTTTCTTGCTAAAGACAACATATGCCTTGGTAATCTGATAGTGGCAGATAGGCTATGATTTTTTCCCACAGGAAAACCATCATGAAAAGCGCTTGGAATTGTAACTAAATGATAAAATTAAGTGTGTGCAAAGACATGAAATCTGTTTCAGGAAAAGAAGCGTATCTCAAGGAATTTAAATCACTATTATTTTATGTCGTTTACGGATCATTTTATAATAGGCCTAGAACATATTCATCAAACATATTCTTGTGTGAACTATAGCTAGACTTGTTGTCAACCAAAACACACTGTATTAGTACTAAGTAGCATCAGACAATTTCCTCCCAAATTACCTGCACATACTGATGAAGAAACACAAATTTAAGCAAAAAGAGGATGAACTATACAGGAGGCCGAATTTCATATATCATCTGCGATGCCGCCACGGCACAGACTACAGCTACTTCACGGCAGTTAATAGTTCCGATTGTTATTTGACAGCTAAATAAAATTATCACAATCGTTCCATTTAAATATTGAAGTTTATAAACCAGTTAAAATATACCTAACAAATTTCTTCTAAGAGTGAGAAATTTTAAGCCAAATACATAGCCTTTCCGATTATAAAATAACACAAAGCCATTTTGCATCGCATTCACACCAACACCGCTGGAAAAAATGACGCCTGCGCTTCTGGGAGCAAAATGCATGACAACCGACCACCATGGTGATGTTGTGTACCAGTGCACCTCTAACATCGAAATTTCAACAACTTATTGGTTTAGACACATGCCCGGAAGATGAAACTGCAACACGAGAGGAGATTTCCTTTTAATTTTTGGTATATAAAATTCTGAAAATCACAAATTTACAAAGATTATATGTTGCACATTCCGATCATATTTTTACAATAGTATAGGTTATTATATCAAATAAATCGTTGAAAATCATCCTAAATCAAACTAACTAACACCAATTAAACTAACAATCCGTTTTGCGCAATCAAGACAAATGTTATTACGGTACCTGACGGGTGGATCTCCTCCGTTCGAGCTATTTTAAACGTTTTTTCTGTCTCTGTGTAGCAACTTAAATGCTGTCTTGATACTAACTGCGATTCTGGTTTTAAATTACACTTGCGCTTTGTATAAATTACAAGTGACGTCATGCTAATATAAAGTTATAAAAATATAAAGTACTTATCCTAAACACTTATTACAAATTCATAATGCTTCAACTTGTGGTTCAACCGAGCAAGAATATTATGCAACACCAAATACCTACAATTGTACAACCTAGAAGGAAAACGTGCTTTGACTCGACTAGAAGTGCTAATCATAATTTGTTAATTCCTTTACAACGGATGGTGAAAGGGACTAGTTTCCCGAAGATTTTCTTTAGTAACGTCAGGTCAATGATGAACAAGATGGACGAAATTTTCGGTTTAGTGTTTGTTAATTTATGTGACATTGTTGTAATCATTGAATCGTGGTTGACATCATCCATGACTAATGAACTTATTAGCATGCCTGGATGTGTGACTTGTCGCAAAGACAGACCCAACAACCAACATGGCGGGGGACTTTGCACGTTTATAAACTCACAATTTAATTTTGTTGAGTTATGTGAACTAAGTGAGCTGGAAATCGAAAGCCAATGATTCTTCATTAAACCTGATCGTTTGTCAAGAGGAATAAATTCTATAATCTTTGGAACTGTATATCATCCACCCCAGAACGACAAGACCCTTCGTTCACATCTATTTAAATGTCTCGATTCTTTGCTTACCGCCCATCCTAATTCTGCAATAGTTGTCGTTGGGGACTTTAATCAAATCAAACCAGCTAATCTCTGCTCCTCTTTCAAACTGAAGAAACTGGTCACAAAACCGACCAGAGGAAATAATATTCTTGACCAAGCTCACAACTCTGCAAAGTGGCTCGCTGTAGATTCTATCATGATAGAATTAGCTGTATGAAAGATACTAATACCAAGAAGTGGTGGGATAACATTAAATTATTGTCTGGTTTGTCGAATCCATCCACGTTGAAGAGCATGATAGTGAATGGTGCAGTGCTGAAGGATGCTGACCTTGTTGAAGCCATTAACAAATCTTTAGGGAGAGTTGCAGATGACATCCCACCACTGAAGTTTACTCCTATCCCAGTATCACATATCCCAGATAAGTATATCAATTCTCCTGAAGCCATAGAGTGTTCTCTATCTGGACTTCAAGAGCGCAAGTCGGTTGGCCCAGATGGGATCCCTAATTGGTTATTAAAGAACTTCGCATCAGGTATTAGCTGCCCTTGAGTTCCATCTTTAACTCATCTATCAGTGAAGGCCACTGTCCATCATTATGGAAATGTGCAGATGTCCCACCCTTGGGAAAGATCCTGCAACCTCGGTTCATTGGCATAGATCTCAGACCAATATCTTCGACTACCGTGTTGAGTAAAGTCCTGGAAGGATTCATGTTCAATTGGTTGGCTTCTATCATAATGCCAAACATTGACCCTTTTCAGTTTGGCAGTGTAAAGAAGTCTTCCACCACTCACGCCCTTGTGCACCTTATCCATCAGTGGCTCTCGGCTAAGTAAACACCTAATACTTTTGTACGATCTTGCCTAATAGATTTCTCGAAGAATCGATCATAATATGTTGATGTACAAGCTACAAATACTCAACGTACCCCCGGTGCTTTTAAATTGGTGCGCAACCTTCTTACAAGACAGGCAACAATGCGTTAAATTGGGTGTTTTCAAATCGAAGTGGAAGGGAATCAATGCCGGAGTACCTCAAGGGACTAAATTGGGGCCATTATTTTTTCTTGTGATGGTCAATGATTTGTCCACAGAGTTACCAATGTTTAAGTACGTTGATGACTCCACAGTTTCCGAAGTGTTGTCAACGAAGGAAATGGATTCATTGACAATACAACAGGAAATCGACAACATCAACCAATGGTCAACTGATGGACTGGAGCGAGTCGGTCAAGATGGCGACCAAAATATTTGCTCCGTATTGATGATATATTTTGTTGAATTATATCGTTACATTTGTATTATATGTCTTATTTGTGTATTCTTCATGTGTTTGTTATTATGACTGCAGTAACAGCTGAGCAATTAACGGCAATTCTCGAATCTAAATTGGAAGAGAAGCTTGCTCCTTTGAATTCGACTATAATTGAACTAAAGTCTCAGGTAGCTGATGTTCTAAAGCACGCTAATTTTATCGATGAAAAGTGGAAAATTATGAGAAGAAACTAAAGGAGGTACATGACGAAAATAAAGTACTTAAAACTTCAGTTAGAGCTCTGGAAGAAAACTTTTCTTTGCTGTCTGACTCATATAACGACTTAGAACAATACAGTAGAAGAGAATGTGTGGAAATTAGAGGAATACCGACACCAGAAAACTTAAATGAAGAATCAACGAACCAAATTACAATAGATATTGGTAAATTAATTGGTATAGATATTGCACCAGAAGACATTTCAGTGAGTCATCGCCTTCCCACTAGGAGAAATGCTGTACCTGGTCGACCAATGCCTATAATAGTGAAGTTTGTGAGAAGGGATACCAAGGCTCAGTTCTACGGCAGCAGGAAATTATTGCAATATAAATCAACTCTGGACCTGGGG